AGCAGTCACCGGCCACATCGACCTGATCAGTGTTTGATTGTTGTGTCTTGTTGCTTTTCTTCTTTTGTCTCTCCTCTATCCACTCACCCCAACCGGTCGAGGCAGAAGGCCGCCCACCAAGAGCCGGGGTCTGTTGGAGGTTTCTTCCGTTAAAGGGAGTTTTTCCTCCCCACTGTCGCCAAGTGCTTGCTCAAGGGGGATTTGTTGGGTTTTCCCTATGTAATAATATTGATAACAGTAAGGTCTAGACCTTACTTTGTAAAGTGTCCTGAGATGACTTTTGTTGTGATTTGGCGCTATACAAATAAAATCTGATTTGATTTTGATTTGATTTATCGAAAAAACTATGAAAAATAAATGTTAATATTTTGAGATCTTTTTATGTAAATCAATCAAATTTAAGTGCAGTTTTTTATGGAAACACTGGATGGTCCTCTGAGCTTTGACTGGTAAATTAAGATTTAGATTTCAACTTCTAATTGAATTTATTGAAACCTGACAGCACAGCACTTGTGGGGAGAACAGTCAGCTCAGTTGTTGCTGTAGGGCCACAGTTGCAGTCCAAACACTTCTGCACTCTTTTCTTGTGTGTGCCTTTCTGTGGCAGGACTGCCCAACAACAGTGCTGCCTGGGTTCCCTGAGAGGAAGCCAATGTTTGTCTGGAATTAATGCAGCCAGAGCAGGAAGTATGTGTGAAGAGGATGCCGATGATGATTGTGGAACTGATTCCTACAAGGCAAGTTTCTGTGATCAGATGCTAAGGCAAGGGGCAAACACAGCTCACTGGATTCACAGTCAAACCTAATGGCAATATAAACTTCAAACTAAGCCTAGTACAGTCTGAATTAGCAATTGACAATTGCATTAGTCACAGTAGAATTGGAAATGGGCGCAGATGGTGGTAGTCTGAGAGTCTGAGGCCAGTAAACTCCCATGTGTTGTGTTTGAGGATCTTTATTCAAGATGCTTCCACTGAGGATTACTACTCTGGTGCCAATACCCCTGTTATTTAATTGCAAAATGATTTAGGCCAACTGAAGGTTTCCCACAGTCCTAAAGCTTTACTTCAAAGCAGACCTGAGCAATTGAAAATATCCGATGTCATTTGTTTGGCCTCTTTAGAATTGTGGGAATACAGACTGATAATTGATGTAGTAAAACAGTAGCAGCGGTAGATGGGAGCTTTTTTTATAGCAGTCAATTAGGCTCATGTCATGGTGACTGTCTGAAAGCCACTCGTTTGTCATCTGACCTGCATGTTGAAGGATACTTATTCACCTTGAGCAGCATGGGCCCATTATTGACTCTTTGCTGCAGTATGGCTGTTAAATATTGGCTTTCAGCACCTTTCTTTGTGGGCCCTGTAGATTTAGTAACAATATGTCACACTACATCACAGCGGCCATCACTTCAGTTTTATGTTTAGCAACACCCCATGCACTAATAGTGGTGATCTTACTGAGAGGCTCTGAGCAAGAGAACAGCTTCCCTAAATAAAAACTTGTGACTATCAAAGTTCAAAAAGCCTAAGAATCTACAGCCATGCTAATGGCTCTGTGAGGCTACTTATACACAGTGATGCTTTGAGATAAACTAAAATGTCAACATGTGAACATTCTCACAGTGATAACGATATCATGCAGATGTTTAGCAAGTCATTTTTGCCAAGTCCCTCATCATAGTTTAGTGTATAAGCATGCTAACATTGGCTAATGAATGTTAAATACACAGTATAGCTTTGAAAGATGCTAAATTGATGAAGAAACAAAATGCTAGTGTTAAATGAAAGTTTTGTTTTTTATTTTCAATTATAGCAGCTGCTCTATAGACATACATGATGCACAGTTTGTGAAGAATGAGTGTGTGACCTGCAGGAGTGCTGCGACTGCTGTTCACTGGGGCTGCAGTTCCGCAGTGAGGGGCATCGCTGCGACGCCCACCAGTACCTGGGCTTTCACTGCAGACACGTCTTTATAGCCTGCTGCAAGGGGGAACAGGAGAGGGCTGGGAATCAGGATGGCTGGTATGCTGTCAGAGAGAGGCCTGCCCTCAACTCCACTATACCACCAACAAAAGGTGCTGTGAAATATGTACACAATCTTGAAATGTGTGTTTCATGCCACAGGAGAGGATGTTATTGGATGGGGGAATGTAATACACATCAGTACACTGCCAGGGAAAAGTACTGATTTAAAACAAAGACAGTCCATTTTCTTTATACTAGCTGTTAAAAGCATTGTGGTCCCTGAAAAATGATGTACCTCAGAGCCTCTTTCAGAACAAAGTATAAAAGCCCAGATCACCTCTCCACTGTAATTCTAAGAAATCTAATGCCTGCCTGGCATTGCATTACCTTCTGTTTCAGTCAACCACTTGATGTTAGAAGCTCTCTTGTACTACTTTGGTCTGGCTGCTATGAGGTGGAGAACTGGGATCATTTTAGATCTAATTTTCCCCAGTTTTGTAGAGTAATCAGTATCATGTATCCATGGGCAATCAGAGTCCTTGCATTTTTCCTACTGTCATGGTTACTTAGTTGATTTTTATTTTCACATTGTGCCCCATCCTATCCCACATTGGATTAAACACTACTGTATATGAACCATCAGAAATACAGCAAGACATATGTTGGTAACACAAATACAAAGGAAAAGCAAAGGCATCAACCATTACATTGTTTTTGTTGTAACTTGTACTGATGCATTGTGTTGTTTTGATGTCCTGTTGTTTTGCATGTGTGTTTTATATGAGCCGATCAAGGGAAAGGCATTGCAAACTTTTTAGGACATGAAAAAAATTCTACCTTATCATTGTGACCATTATGTCTTCTTAATCATTATATATTAAAGGTGTTTTTCTTTTGGGAAATAAAACTATTTATAGATTTAATGCAGTTGTTCATATTCACTCTCTCTCCACGTGCTGCAGTATCTGACAGCCCGTATCCTAAAGAAGCCTTCTCCATTGGTGAGGAGCGGGAGAACACAGTGGAGGGTCCTGTAGAGGTGGAAGACATGGACGAGTGCCTGATATATGAGGGCAAACTCTGCCACCACAGATGTGTCAACACGCCAGGATCTTTCCGGTGTGAGTGCTTCCCTGGATACGTGCTACAAGAGGACGCCTTCACTTGTGCACAAGGTAAAAGTGTCGACCACCGATCTTATCTGGTCGCAGTGTCAGGAGACACAGTATTTCCAGATATGTCGGTATACAGGAAAATGACTCTGAGCCATTTGCTCTTTGAAATATAATTTACAATCTAAATTCCTGTCATTTGTTGCAATTTGTCTATACATTGACAGTGTATTTATTATTTTCCTGGTCTCTGAGATCCTTCCTGTCTGCAAGCCCTGATACTGCCTAATAATGGTTATTCTAATCACACACTAACATCCCTTTCCTGGACTGATGGCAGTGCTCATGTAATCACATCTCTGCTGTTGTCAAAAAGCCTTTCAGCTAAAGAAAAAAACATTTTCATTTTTGTTTGAAGTTCATTCTTTGCATAGAGTAGAAACTGAAGGTGGGCTGTATGACTTTTATGCAGTGTACCAGACTTTAATCAACAGTGGTTTTCACCAGACAAGCCTGTCTCAACAAGGTACTGATGCCAGAACTCTCAGCAAATTACAGCCATGAGAAGAGGCTCACTAGTAAAAATCAAATGTTTCTCTGCAGGCAGTGTTTTTTCCTGTCTCACCTGCGCTGCTATCACAACTTTATTCTGCATCTATGAACCTTATATTGTTGGTTGAATACAGACGAATTGCACAAAGTTTGTCTCTAAGACCACAGTAGATAGAAAAGCAGGGTTATTGATTGCACTGTAATTCATCACTCCTGAGATTCTTCATGTTTCTGTAGAGACGTCGGATGAGGACAACAGACTGAGGGAGGATGACGGAGCAGTGGTGGAGCCCACCTCATCCCTTCTGCCTCCCTCCCACCCCCCTATCCCGCTCAATCCCTGTGAAGGTTAGTAACTCAGAGCTTAATGAGGGGAGAAACAGCTACACTGCCTGACAGCTCACGATAAGCACTTTAATCCATCCTTACATCTTAATCAAACTGGAGTGTGAATGTTGATGTAGTTGAATATGTTTAGAAGAGAAGCCAGCACAGGCTTGTATAGATGGACATGCTTTGATTTCAAACTCACCATTTCCATGAAATGTTATTGTGCTGCAAATGTCAAACACAAGCGGTGAGATGGTATCAAAGGTTAGTTTATTTTCAGCATCAGTCCCTCACTCTCACGAGCTCTCCATATCAAAATCTGTGCACAGGCACATTTTGTTTCCCTTTGGTTTGGTTTCCATGACACAAGGGTGGAGGTCCACCACACACAATATGACCAGGTCAGGCACCAACCTGTAAAAAAGGAAATGAGCAAATGACAGTAAATAGTGTTCTGTATGCCACACAGAGCCACAAATCTCTCCTCGGTTTTCTAAACACTATTGTGTGGATTAGTAGAGCAGTATATTTCATTTGACTTCGCAACATTATTTTTAGGAAATAGCCCCTGTGAGCAGCAGTGCACCCCAGTGGGCAGTAGGCCACAGTGCTCCTGTTTCCCAGGATTCTTCCTTAGGGCTGATGGACGTTCCTGTGAAGGTAAGGAAATAAAACCAAGTTATAAAACATTTTCTTACATCACACCATGGTAGCATGTGGAAATTCTGTGCAATCACTGAAGTGAAAAATGGATCACAATTTCCGCCCTCATTTCAGTCTTCTCCTGCAGCCAGAGGACTTTGGTTCCAGTTGAGACTTTCTTGGCAAGACTGTCTGCCACTGATTTGTCTCTTTCTCTCATCAGTGCCTCTAGATTTGCTGAGGAGATATAGCCCCTAATCCCTTTTACTCTCAGCAACACACTGTGGTGTGGACAAAAACAAAAAACATAAATGGGAGGCTTTCCTTTCATCTTGTTCCTGAACTGACTCTCTACCAGAGGGATTATCCCAGCTATCCATGGTTTATCACATTAAATCTCACTGAGTGCATACCATATACTGTACAGTATACCTTTTGTTTCTGTGCCACTCTGAATGATGGTGAAGTGTGTTTCATCACGTCTCTACGTCTAACCTGTCTGCCTAAGGTTATATCTTTAAGTTAAGACATAACCACTGGTCTGTCTCCTGCTTGACAGTAGCAAACTATGGTAACAACACGGAGGGTGGCTCAGTATGGTGAAAAAAATTCTCATTGTGTGGATGTTATATCAGTGGCCCTGACACTAATTTCTCTCCTAGAAGAGGGACTGACCTGTCTGTTAAGTCTGCTTTTGTCTACTGATCGTTACACACTGACCACAGCTGTATTTTTGTTCATCTCCTTGTCTGCTTTATTTAAGTCATTTTCTACTCTGCACTTTTTGTTATTTATTCTCTCTCTTTTGTCTTTTATTCTTTTTTAAACATCCAGATGTAAATGAGTGTTTGTCTGCACATGTCTGCCAGTTCAGTGAGCGCTGTTTGAATACTGCAGGGAGTTACAGTTGTCAGAGAATGATCACCTGTCCTCCTGGATACCAGAACAACAACAACATTTGTGAAGGTACACCACACCTTATCTTTATTAAGCAGCATCTAAATATTCACTTCCACCCACAGTGAGTATGTTAGAAATACCAGCAAGAAAACCGTTGTAGTACCGCCTGTGCACAGTGTCAGGAAGGTACATTGTGCAGGCAAACAATCACTTTCACCACCCTTGAGAGTAAGTATTGAAAATGAGACTTTTTTTTATTCTTCACATCCAGTGATTATGTAATTTCACATGTGAGCACAAAAACAAGAGGGAATTATAGCAATTTTGACTCCAGAGATGAATTTGCACAGCATTTGCTGGCTTTTAACTGAATGAAGGCCTGCGTGGCCTGGTGCCCAACTTTGAGATGCAATACGTCTCATTATTTCCATGCACCATAAATTGGGCCACTGGAGAGGTCTCATTCATAAAGTAGCAGTGGTGTTCAGGAAGAAGAACCCCTAGGATGAGGTTTAGATGTGCTGGAAGTGCTGTTTGCCACTGCAGATGGGTTTCTGAGGGCTCAGCCAAGGAGACATGCTAATCTCTAGCTTCTTGTGAACAATGTTCAATCAGGCAAAATGTGCATTTATAAAGAAAGTGTGTTTAATGGTGAGCCTCCAAGCAGCTGCCGCTTCAAGATGTCATCATAACAGTGCCAGTACATACTGGTTAGTATATCAAAATTAATCCAAGTTTTGAGTTCTTTGAATTTTTTGGTATTCTCCCCCGAATAAGTGGGGGACTATTAGGCCACTAAGGGTCAGGAAAGCTGTGGTGCTGACTGATGGGTGTCAAATGAAAGTCACACATTTCTTTTATCTTCCCATTGGTATGAGCTTTATTTAGCTGATCACTTTCAGCATCATAGAATGGTATATTGTCTGATAATGGGGATTTTATTTGTGTATTATTTTTGAAAAATAAGCAGCAGCCCTCCAACACGTTTACTGTACATGTACCATGACAGTAGCACAAATAAGATATTACTGGAAACGAAGTAGGCTACTTCAGTCACTGTTTAAAACAGGCATCTATTTCCAAATCAATCTACAAACGTCTGCTACTCGAATCATTTAGGTTTAGCATCTGCACATATAGTACTGAATGCTAGCATCTGAACTTATCCTGATTCCTGACTCTCCACAGCAATGCTCACTGAGTTGAGATGTAGTCTGGTCATATTTTATTTATTAATATAGCTAGTAGATCATACTGCAGGCACATATGGTACAACTACAGTAATCCCCGAGGGGAAAATCACATCCACAGGCCAGTATGCTAGCAAACACTGGTTCTACTCTGCTGTGACTGTGGTACATGAATGAAGCAGGTGAGTTTGGCATCCTTTGCCACGTGCGGTGGATTCTGTGCCAGAGCTGGTACCACCATCAGCACAGCGAGTTTGTACAAGTTGTAGCCTACGAGTTGCACTGGTACTGATGAACTGTGCGGTGTCAGCAGCACCACATACAGCTACTGTACCGTAAACCCTGAGGGGAGTGTGTCAGTCTTTGTCAAACAGTAGGCTACTCAAGTGAGCTTTTAGCACAATTTAAGGTCAGAATGCTTTAATTTATAAGGCTGGTAGTAAGTTTGGTAACACGCAAAAAACACCGTTGTGCTGTGCTACATACTCCCTATTCATGACTTATTAAAACATTGTAATGAAAGCCTCCCTTGCAAAGTCATCACACAAGGAAAATCTGAAATGCATTCCCCTCCTTTCTCTAATCTCAATGACTCACTTGAGACCCTTAATTATTTGTGCAGTTTTACATCAGTAACCACCGTCTTCCAAGCTGAGTGCGGTCAAGCACCTTGGACCATTTCTTCTGTCATAATTCAGTCAAACCAGAATGTAAAAATGAGACACAAATATGTGATACAACTAAAATCATGGCAGCTTATTACTTACTTTGAACACAGTCCAGTTGATTGTTTCTACCTTAAAAGTTACAATACAAATAAGATTGGTTAGTATTAAACACAGTGTGATTTTTTTTTATAGTGCAGGTTTGCCAAAAGGTAAATATAATAAAGAGAAAAATGGGCTCACCCTACAACTGAATTAACTCATGGCAGCACATAAAAAAGCAATAAAACAATCAAGTGTCAAAGTCAATATAATTTGGCTTTTTATGTTCTATCCAATTACACTTCCATTTACATTGTAATGTATTCATTTATGCTGCCATTAACATTCAGCAAAAAGGAAAAAAGAGCAATTTCACATTTCATAAAGCCGTTCTATTAATAAAATGTGTCCTAGAATATGCACAGCACTGTGTTGGAGGTTTTTACCACACTTATTGTGACAATAGCAATATGTAGCATGCCTATCTAGCAAATAAAGGGAGTGAAACAAGAAACAAAAAAATAGCCAAGGGATCAAGGTGATAAATGCTCACACTGCAGTAAGTGAACCCTATGACGTTTCTAGGTTCTCTGAGCTTGTTGCCTTCACTGAGTGGGAGGTCACTGCCAATCTCTCATACATTTATCGGCGCTTCCTGGCTTTTCTCTCTGTCAGTATCAGGCTCACTCAACTCTCAGGAGCAAGATGTTCAATCACTGTCTGCTGTTTAGAGACCTACCCTAGGTCGACAGGGCTGATGGAGCTTGTTTAGGCTTCTGGTGTGAAATCCCACAAGCCTGCTTGAAAACATGATGAATTTATGTATTACACAAACACATGCACCATGATTTTCCTTCAGCTTTGGTTTATATGGAAACAGACATGGAAGGCTGGTTGATGGGATATTATATTATATATATATGACTCTGGGGTTTTATCTGAATGGTTAAGGTTGTCAGCTGGACTTGCTTGAGGTTCCTGCAGGTGTTTCATCTGTCATCTGAGAAACTTCTTCAGCTCTGACTGAATGAATGGTGGGGAGTGTGTCTGTGGAGTTGTCAATGCCTTGAAGGCCAGTGACGTTACATGTGGGTCATTAGAGTCACATGGGTCAAGGTGTGAATGTGTGTTAAACCGCCTTGGGTGGAATGTCATTGTAAGTGACTGATAAGTGGTGTCACAGACAACCTTTCCTCTGACATCCTCTGGTGTGAACATGAGTCTGGTAAAAGTTCACTCACAGGAACACTACTGCATGTGACTTCTGCTTGTGTGAGTCATTAGAGGATGTTTCTTTAGTAACTGCCATTCAGACAAGTCAGTTGTAACAAGAGCAACTATTTTAGATTCCTAAGTTCCAGTACAATTCTTTTATTTTTCACTGACATCTAGAGTATTGACAGATACTGATATTATGATAGATGAACAATAGTAAAAACAAGCAACTGTACAATCTGGCATTTAACCACAGTGCCATCTAGTGCTGTTATATGGCATTACATGCATGCATCTTTCAGCATGCACTATAGTTAGTATATGTAGTGCATTAATCGATTTGACACTAATAATGACTGGTTTGTGCTTTATTTGCAGTTAATTACTTCTCCAGTCCTCCTTTGCTCTTACATTTGCTTTCTTCCTCAGATATCAACGAATGTGCACAGAGGAGCCATAACTGTGGGCTTGGCTTTGAGTGTGTGAATACTGAGGGTTCCTTTAGGTGCAATCCCAGACCTCGCTGCTCTGTGGGCTTTAACCAGGATGCACAAGGCAACTGTATTGGTAAGCCAAATCACTTTCTTACATAATTATCAATCAATTACTGCACCGTTTGCAGTGATTCACAGTCTTGGGCTGATGGCCAAATGTATTGTGTCCTCTCCATGATTAATATGTGTGTAAGGGTTAAATCTTATATATAGTAACAAGCAAACAAGGCTCTTTAATTTAATTACACTCAATTAATTAAAGCTTTATTTATCCCTGGTAATTATATGCAGAAGGTTTGCACCTAGATCAACAGGATCACACACAGAGGATAAGAAAGAAAGAAGCATACTCTTAATTACAAACTATGAACTAAAAAACAAACAAAAGAAGAAGACTGCTGTGTTGTGCATAGTCACTTTTGTTTTTAGAGATTCCTATTCCCAAATACAGATAATGGACCACAGCGGGTATGTAAAGAAATGTTTCCCCACAGGCGAATCGTAGTTTTGCATAGACACATGGTCATACACTGTGCAGGTGAATCAGCAGTGACAAAGGGGTTAAGTGCCACACAGAAGATCAGAAAGGTTGCTGTTAGGGGCTGCAGAGGGGGTGGATAAAAGCCAAACCTCTGTCCTCCAGTACAAACTGATGAAACTGTGGAATTAGCCCCCAGGGGCAGGAACTGGGGCATGTCTAGGCAAATGATGCTACTGTAAAAGAAACGCTCTGATAAATGAGAAAATGGAGAAAACACCACACACAGCAAAGTTATTCAGGGGAATGCGACTGTGTGATGTGTATTTGCTGTGTGATATCACAGTCTGGCTAAAGAACTGCGCTCTGTTCTCTCTTGGCCTGCTTTTGTGCCTTTGGGTCTTTCGTCTTCTTCGGTCTTTCTTCACCTTTAGCTCACTCTCTTTCTTTCTCTCTGTACCAGACATTGATGAGTGCAGTGCTTTGACCCAGGCATGTGGCCCGGGATTTAACTGCATCAACACAGCAGGATCATACATGTGCCAGAGGAAGATAATATGTAGCCGCGGCTATCATGCTAGTCCTGATGGCTCCAGATGTATTGGTAAGATTTGTAGTTAATGAACCGTCTATAATCACATTTGATTTTCAGACTTGAAGTCATTGTCAACAGATGATATGAGAGAGGCTTGACTTTATTTTGCTCATGCACATCTATAAAACCAAAAAATAGGTGTTTGTTTAAATATAATTATGTGAATACCTGTTTTGTTGTTTCTTGACAAAAGAATGAATAATATTACTTTGCACACTGTATAGGATATTAAAAAGTGAAGAACTAAAGACTATTTGAGTTTGCAAACACCCAAAAGTGGAATCAGCAGAATGTTATCATTGTGATTTCTTTTTATTTTCCCATCTTTCCATTAATCGTTACCATTCTTGTGTGTCTTGTAGATGTGGATGAGTGTCACAGCAGTCTGCACCAGTGTGGAGAGGGCCAGCTGTGCCACAATCTGCCCGGTTCCTATCGATGTGAATGCCGGACTGGATATCAGTACGACCCGCTCAGGAGGTCGTGCGTAGGTATGTTGGACATCACACACATCACCAGAAGAAGTGCGCAAGAGCTTTTATGTTTTGACCTTGCTGTACTGTGTCTCCTTCTTTTCCCGTCCTTTTGCCATTCATCACTTTTTCACTTTCACTGTGCAGTACACACACCCCTCTCCTTTGTCTGCCCACTCGGCTGCTCCTCTTTATTATTCTGTGGTGAGAGAGCTGCTGCTGACGCCTGCATTAGCCACTGGGCAACAGGTCACGCCTCCTGCTGCAGATGACTGTTTTGCCTCTGCCGCCGCCGCTGCTTCCTCAGTTTGTGATTCACTGTGTTGTGACTCTCATAATAATGGACTCTGCTCAAGTGTTTAGACTATTGGCAGGCAGCTGGTCCCTTCACGTCACACTCTCATCGACAGGCACAGGAGTGCACACGTACAGTACAACACTGAGTAGGGCAGCAGATCTGTACATGCTTGGCTGCACATGTGCACTTGCACACATGGATGAAAGCTCACAATGCTACAGACATTTACAGTGGTCTGATGACGCTGGCTCTTCCTCTCAGATGTAAACGAGTGCTGGCGCTACCGAGGCCGTCTGTGTGCCCAGACCTGTGAGAACACCCCAGGCTCCTATGAATGCTCATGTACTTCTGGCTTCCGCTTATCCAGCGATGGCAAGAGCTGTGAAGGTGTGTGTGTTAATGTATGTGTATACATATGAACATGTCAGTGCAGGTCATTATACTTTTTTTGTGAATTTGCACATGAAAATATGCCTGTGTGTTTCTTGGTGTACCAGACTTGCAGATTTTTACATTGAGCTGATTAAAGCTGGCCACTGTACAGCATATTGCTGTATTACACCGTTCTGTATATCATGCCATGCCTGCAAGCACCAACCAGTAAAAACATAATTGGCTTAATAACAACATCTTGTTTATATGTGAGGATTAAAAACACTGAAAATCCCTTAATTGAGTGAATTGCAACAGTAATGAGCCATAACTTCTAATCTCTAGATGTGAATGAATGTTTGGCCAGCCCATGTAGTCAGGAGTGTGCCAACATCTACGGTTCCTACCAGTGCTACTGTAGAAAGGGCTACTACCTCAGGGAAGACAGTCAGACTTGTGAAGGTGCAGCACACTCCGCCACACATCACAGACACCATAATTATGCCGTACTTGTGTTTTGAGAGGTTTTAGAGTCTGTTTCACATGAATGACTTCCTTGTGCATGTCCTCCTTGTGTCACCCAGACATTGATGAGTGTTCCCGAGGCATCGGCCACCTCTGCACCTACAGGTGTGTAAATGTCCCTGGCAGTTACCACTGTGCTTGTCCTGAATATGGCTACACCATGTCTCCAAATGGACGTTCTTGCAGAGGTGAATATCCCACACACATGCACACATTTGCAAGTGTGCCTCATTCAGTTCTCATTTGAACAGTCAAATGAGTGGTTGTGCTCAGATAAATATAAATGGTACTTTTACAGTGACTCTGTAATTACACAGTCAATTAAAGTTTATTGGCCTAAATTTCTTGTCTTGCTAATTTTATTTATTTTAGCTCCTTTACTACTTACTTACAGTTTCCTCACAAGAATTTATTTTTGTCTTACATGTTTTAGCAGTAACACTTTCGCTCCAAATTCAGTTGTCTTGTGATTAATAGTCACTTCCTCCTCCCCAGGCAGTTACCCAGCCTGTGTGCATTAACTGTTTTTGTAGATATTGATGAGTGTGCCACAGGGGCCCATAACTGCTCTGTAGCTGAGACCTGCTATAACATCCAGGGTGGGTACCGCTGCCTTTCCCTCAGCTGTCCACCAAACTACCGCAAAGCGTCCGACACGTAAGTTGTGACAGCAGTTTATAACCCATCCCCCATGTTCAGTACGATTTTTCATTGATATTTTAATAGGTTAAATCTTTTCTTATGTTTTTACGACTGATATGAGGTGGGACAGTTTATGAAGGATCAACTGCTTTGATTTAAAAACAAAGTCAATTTAAACTAGGTCGGGGTAGCTTGTAAATTAGCATTCAATGGCAATTATCAGTTTAAGTGTTGGGGAATCTATTTAATATAGCTGTTGTTTGCTTTATCACTGTTTTGTATAACATGCATAACCTCCCTGACCTTTCTCATGTCCCTTGTAGGCACTGTGAGCGAATCAGTTGTCCCAGCTATCTGGAGTGTCAAAACACTCCCCTAAGAATAACCTACTACTACCTCAGCTTCCAGTCCAACATCGTCATCCCTGCCCAGATCTTTCGTATCGGACCTTCCCCTGCCTTCACCGGAGACAATGTTATCGTTAGCATCACGCAGGGAAATGAGGAAAACTACTTCAGCACCAGGAAGCTGAATGCCTACACAGGTGCTGTGTACTTGCACCGACAGGTTGAAGGTACAAAAGATTTCCTAATTAATGTAGAGATGAAGCTTTGGAGACAGGGGAGGTTTACCACTTTCCAGGCCAGGCTCTACGTCTTCATCACAGCCAGCCCGCTCTAACAGTTGCTCTTTAGCCACTTTGGACCTTAATACAGCTCAAGGGGACGTTTCATACCAGTGTCTTCAGATATACCACTGTCTGTCATGATTGGTTTGAGGAGCTGCTTGCGTCCAGTGGAAATGAATATTAAAACACTCCTCTAATAGTGGAAGGAATCTGTCTGTTTTGTGTCAGTTAGTGTTTTCACCATGATTGTGTAACTTCAATTAATTTTTCATTTCACGTTTGAATGGCAAATAAACCTCATTACTATGCAAGGCTGAGAAAACATTCGCTCCAAATATTCAAGGGGGAATCCATTAAATTTTGAATCTGAGATGATACATTTGGAGATAATTATGAAACCACAATGAAACTATTGATTAGTTGTAGTGTGTAAAACATAAAACTCTAATGTCTGGCATCTTACAGTGTATGCATATATATTCTGGTCGTATCATCTCATTATTAGATGGTGTATTGTTGATAACACTTTGATCAAAGCAAAAGAAATTGTTCTGAGTTTCCATTCCAGTATCTAAACATCTGTCACTTTTTCAAACCCTGAGCTGCTGTTTCTGTTTAGTCTTTGAAATATTTGAAAAACTAATTTAATATTACTCTATACTGTGTATTTTTGTATCCTTGTAATAAGACACATTGTGGATGGCTGTATCATATTTTTATGCTATATTTGTAAGCTGCAAAGCATTTTACAAAAATATATATTAAAAAAAGACATATGTGCTTTGGTGAGTATTGGCTTATTGTATTTATTTGTTGAGAAGTATTTTGTAGTTTGTGCTTTTGTGTTTGTTATACTCACTGCTCAGTTATTTTCACTTCAAAAACATGTTGTGTTATGCACTAGTTCTGGTTAATACTGTATATAGTGATGGCTATTCCTCAGTAAAGTTGTTAAAGTATATAATCCAATCTTGTCAGGGCATGCCACACACTAAATATCTGTGCCTATTTACATACCTGTTTGCACCTACATAATCGATATTCATCAACATATGCCAGTTTGATACATGTGGATTTTATGAAGGCTAATAAAAGAAATTAATGTGTAATGTTTGATGACTGAAATAAAATTGTTATGAGTCATGTCTTGCAGACTGCACAGCTCAACTTCATTTCCTGCAGTTTGCAACAGAGCTACACTGCCACCTAGAGGATGAATGCAGCCCTACATACTAAAATGCTGGGAACAGTCGTTGTTTAGACCAAAAAACATAGGAAAAGATGCACTGAATCCTCATTCATTGTGAAGAATTCTGAAATATTTAAAATGTAAAAATGCTTATAAACTAAAAAATGAAGATATTTTTCTTTTTAATCAATTTAATCAACTCTGAATATTAACATATTCTGCTCAGAGGTCAGTGAAATTCCTCAACCTGCAGTGTATGTGTGTGTGTGTGTGTGTGTGTGCGTGTGTGTAATGTATGTTACACATCCAAGCAGAACTGCTCGCCATTTTTTTGTTATCTCAGATAAAATGTACTGCTGAAGGTCAGGTCAACAAAAGATTTCTGCACTAATTTAGTTCCTTTGCTTGGTGAGATGCTAACAGATGGCTAGTCCCAAACGCATCAAGGAAGCAATCAATACAGCTGTTGTCTGAGACCTTCCTCTTGACACAAATCATAGTAATAGCTATGTGTGTAAAGCTGTGATTGATATCTTTTTCTCCTAATTAGCTTTATCTGCTCTTCAGGATTAGGTGGTGCTGTGTTTCAGAGACAGTGAATCACACATTGCAGACAGGGGAAGATACACACATCTATTATGGGTTTAGGGATGGTGACAGGAAGTTTTAAAATGTCCCGGTCAAAGGGAGAGGAACTTTGGAAGAGTTATAAGACTGGACAGAAATCCCACAGGGCGACAGTCCTGCAGTGGCTATGGACTGTTGATTAATCAGTCTGTACTGGGTGAGATTTCATAAAAAATGATGAGGATGATGATGATATACAAAATCTAATTATTTGGAAAATGCCACTTCTGGTGAGGTTAAAAAAACAACTGCAATATGTGACTGTAGAGCATGTGTGAGAGGTGGTGAGGGCGGGGGAGTTACAGACACAGTTGTCTTTGATAGCTCAGGTGGTCATCACCTGAGGGGGAAAAGAGCATTAATGGGCATTCTCAGCAACAGACAAGCACAGGCTAGCGCTCCCTCTCTCTTGGCTGCCATAAACAGGAGGAAGTATGCATCATTAGATTAGGCTGAGACTAACTACCTGCAGTCACGCCCACTTCATACAGTAGCTAGCATTGTGCAGAGTGCACAGACTCACCTTCAGGCCTCGCTCTCCTCGGCGTGATTGGCTGGGTCACTTGTGGGTCTCAAAGCACTGCCGTGCAATTGGTCAGTTTGTGGAGCTATTACCTGCACCACAGAACGAGTAATCATTGTAGATAATGTTGTGTCAACATTTCTATGAGAAGCAATTATATGGGGTACAATAACGGATCACTTACAGAACACCTTAACAGAAATTCCTCTGAGAGCTTAGTTTGTGAATATTCTGCTTCCCAAACTTAAGACAGGGTGAGCACAGGATAAATACCTGTAAGGTTAAACCTCAAGAGGTTCAAAAATCTTTGCCTACAATAGTACAAAGCAAAGTAATGTGAAAAGGAGAAAGGAGCAAAAATGAGAAAATAAGAGACGAGAGGAATTTGCCTGAAAGGATAAATAAGGAAAGTATGTAAGGTTGCCTGTAACTGTGAGGCACCTGATATATCAGCCTTGGTGTCATTTTATCATGCTTGAGCAGATATTGCACCACATTCCTATGTTCCACCTCTGAGAATGGATTTGATCATAATGCATGTACAGATAAACCTGACCAGGCCCTAAAAAAGGCATGTTGCCTCTGGTCTGACCTGCAAAAAGGCCCGGAGGAAGAGATCCAGGTATGAGATGTAGTCCTCAGGGTAGATAGAGAGGAAAGTAAGGCTCAGTCTGCAGGAGTGGACTGACCTGAGTGGAAATTCCTCTCCAAGGTTCCCTAGGTGGGAAGATTTACTGGGGTCTTAATCATAGGTCAGCACCTTGGCCACAGCTTTTCTGGCCGATGGGAAAGGCGCCCCGGATGATGTGTTGCCTCGTTAACAGCCATTTTGACAGAATGTAATGCCAGACATCTTTGGCATGTGTGACTTTTGACACCACAAATCATGTTTTCTGCTTTCTGGCTGTACTGTACTGACTCACTCAAAATGACCGTTACATTTCTAAGACTATGAAATATGTAATTAAACATTCAGTTTACGCACCCAGAGAAACTAAGTATAAAAAATATTTTCTTGCTTTATATTTACTGTAAAGATATGTCATTTGTATCAGTGAAAAATGAGTAACAAAGTGTAAATCCCAAAATGTCAAATGATTCCTTTAAGAGAAGTGGAGTTTAAAGCTCCTTAAACTTAAGTTTTTAGCGATACATTCAGAGTTAATACTTCAGTGCAATAGCTAAAAAAAGGTAATAAAAACAACAATCTGCATGGATAAACCTTAATATAGGTAAGTGAGAAATATTTTACATTTGTAATTTGGGAGAACCAATTCTTGTGCACTTGTTAATTTGCAGAAAAGGGAGCAGGCTTAAATTTGTGCAGGCTTGTTGTCTAATACAGTCCAAACTCATAAAAATAGACAAGCATTGTTAAGCTTATACGGTGTTTATACTTTTGTTCAAAAGATATTACTGGTAATATTCAATATAATACATTTTTATCTATACATCAATTAAATCTCTGTCCTCTGAAGATGAGGATGCTACTGATAATGAGGGTGATGATGGTTTAGTAACAAATGTGCATCAGTAGATCATCTGTAACTGAAATCATTTGTCTTTTTTTAGCTACCACCAATCTATTGAGTTATAATGAAAGAAGGGCCTCTCTAATTTAAGGGATTTCACAATATTCAGCAAATGAATTTGCAAGATGCAACAGGTACTGCACTGCTTTCATGACTGTCTGCATACCACTGTGACCGCACTCTAACTATTACTCTCTTTATCTCTGCTCCCTGCAGCACCGGGGTTAAAAACCCTGTATTCTCTTTACTAAAAAAAAAAAAAAAAAAAGAACGCTTCTTTAAAACGTCTGTGGCATATGTACACTTGTTTGTGTTTACCCCTACAGCAAAATCTTTGTATGACAGCTCTTTCATTTAGGGTATAGAAAGCAAAGCGCATACAGGATTTTGAAAAATGGTGTTGAGACAATCCTGCCTATCCTCAGGTGATTAGATAAGAAACGGTAAAGTAGATCTGCTGTTGCAACAAAGTCCCCGCTCTCACTCAGTGGCCCACCACCTGAGCACTGGCAGTGTTTTCTTAGAAGGATTGATGTCTGTGTCAGTGTGGTGTAAATCCTGTTGTATGTGGCAGTGAGCAGCTGCATTCTGACTGACAGCTGCTCAGCATTCTCATTCATAAACACAAGCAGCAATCAGTATAACTCACGTCATTCACTGTACTTTATACGCTTGAAGAAATATTTTTTTTAACGACAGGTTGATTTGTTGTTATTTCTGTCTGATTGTCTAACTTGTCACCGACGCGCACGCTTATGACTCACAAGCAACACGCCCAGATAATGGTTCTGTTGCAGAAGGAAATGTTCCTACCTCTTCACAGTGACTGGCAGGTAGGGAACTGTATAGATGCCCGTTTGCACTCAGTGCCTTTAAGATGTTTCCAGATCCATTCTGGAAAACAACTCCACCTGACACATTGCCATTTTCCCACTGACAGAAAAACACCACAAAGTATCAGGGGAAAATCTAATCATGTTGACACAGTCTCACTGCAGAGATATGGCAGAAAATGAGCTCGGAGTCCTATTGGAGCGGTTTTCCTCTGTGACGCAGAGGGGACGACATTATGCTGTGTGTGCCACTGAAAATAGGTCATGGCCAATGTTGGCACGTATTTAGAAGTACTTAATGTTTAAAGCACCACAAACAAAATGTCATGAACTTTTATTGTATTGTGGAGGCAGCAGAAATCTAACTGACTGGCCACTAAATTATGTGTTTATGTGGCTCACTTTTACCGACACTTGAGAACATTTACAGAACTTGATGCTTTTGCAGGTCAGAAAACATCTTTAAAGACACATTTCATCCAGGGCACCATCTCTTCACGCAGCCTTCTGGAAGGTGTTACGGGGCTTTAAAAGCTCGCACACACCCAGAGAACTGTCAGAAAGCTAAATAACAAATAACAAGTCCGGACTCTACAAAGCATAATGCTCTTAATATGGTGCTATTCTGAATTTGATGCACTAATGCCAGCTACTATTGTTTATTATCATCTGCTTTATAGTTAATCATTTATTTATATCTAACTCATTTGTCTGTGAAGATTTTACACAAACCACTAGAGGGCAAAATTCATTGTACGTTACACAATGACAATAAAGTGTATTGATTACTGAAGTTGTAGTTAGTGATGGTGGTATTCTTGAATGTATTACACTGCAGTGAATGTGTTTCTAATACTCGCCCCCCCATCATGTGGTGCACTCGACACTACAGCAAACTACAACATCAATAATAAACATAAAGTTAGATGAATACATGTCTGACAGTGAAAGTCACCAGCCTCCACCCTCCTCTGTGTTTAACACCACTGAGTGAGTGTTTCTGCTGTCTCTATTTGCAGCCTTTCTACTCCTTTCCACTCTAAAGTTACAGGTGTGATTTCTCACACGTTTAGCAAATCACCATACACCCGACACGTCTGACCTTGAAGTCACCGATAAATGGCCGATCCAGGGCACAGCTGTGCACAGAAAGACAGCAGAGCACTGATCATTTCTCACAGCTTTCTCATGTCATGAAAATGAAGACTTTCTTGGTATTTTTCCTCATGCTGCTACCATGTTATCTTTGCAGGGCACAAAAACACAGCAGAAATAACGATGCCTTGCTGCAAGCTCCTTATGTTGAGAGTGAGGAGGAGATGGCTGTGACACAGAAGCCCGGGACTGAGACTGAGGGAGGCAAAGAGGAGCTGGAGCTTCACTCAGATATCTGGGCTGAGCTGAGGAATCTGAGAGACATGGTGGTGGAGCAAAAAGTAGAGCTGAGGCACCTGACGACCAGAGTAGCAGCTGCAGAGAGCCAGGTGGAGGCCTTACAGAAGGAGCATATAGGTAGCCTGCAATGAAAGACTCACTTTACAACAAAATAGTTGAACCTTATAAAGCTTACATGAGCACTCCTGTTACAGCCATGGAGGTCAGGATGGTCATTGCTGAGAGACTGGCAAAGGAACTGCAGATGGAGAATGATGGTATACACTGTGTTATCCTTTGACTTTGCACTCAGCTCTAGTTCTGAGGTGTTTTTGTGTTGATTGTTTGACATGTAAAGCTAAACCTTTCCAATATGTATTCCCTTTTCTGCCACATCTTTACGTCACTTTAGTTCAAGCTACAGAACTAGCAGCCACTCAGGAGAAGCTCCTCACTCTGCAGCAAAAACTGACTGTCAGTGAAGGCCGTGTGGAAGAGCTGGAGAAACAGCAGGAAGGTACAGATCACGGGTTTATGATTTGTGTAATAAATTGTGTGCATATGGTTATATGTGTTGTTTTTGACTCCAGGGCAAAAGGCCACAGTGCAGGAGCTTCAAAATGCCCTTCAAGGTAACGAATTGTTGCCTCTCTGTGTTTGTGTTTTGTGCATGTATGAGTAAGTGAAGTTCATAATCAAGTGTGTGATGTTCTTGAACTTTGCCACAGTGAGCAAAGTGGCGTTTTCTGCGTCCCTTCTGGACTCTGGTGAAGGTAACACAAGTGGAAGTTTTGTTCCACTCATCTACAGAAATGTCTTTACCAACATTGGAAACCACTACAACCCAAACACAGGTAACCTGATTAGATTTCTTGTAACTGAGAAACTGGCCCAGTTGTTAATTGGTTGATAATTTCACTTCCATCAGGTGTGACTGTTCTTTTCCATCTGTGTTTTAGGTTACTTCACTGCACCAGTAAGAGGAGCATATTATTTCAGATTTACTGGGCATGTAGCAAACATTGACAGTACAATGTTTTTGAGACTTGTTAAGAATGGACAAAGCATGGTTATCATAGGGGACCGTCCCACCACATCCACAGACGCTGAGGACAATGCATCCAATGGTGTTGTGTTGCAGTTAGAAGTTGCAGATGTTGTTTCAGTAGAACTCAATGGAGATGTCTGGGATGACCACCTATTTCAGATTTACTGGGCATGTAGCAAACATTGACAGTACAATGTTTTTGAGACTTGTTAAGAATGGACAAAGCATGGTTATCATAGGGGACCGTCCCACCACATCCACAGACGCTGAGGACAATGCATCCAATGGTGTTGTGTTGCAGTTAGAAGTTGCAGATGTTGTTTCAGTACAAATCAGTGGAGATGTCTGGGATGACCAGTACCACAGAACAACCTTTACTGGATTTCTGCTCTTTCCTTTGTAAGATGTCACAAATGTTTGCATGAGAGTTGCATGGATTACCCAGTTTAGGTTAGGTTCACCAATGCCTGCAGATGTATTAATGTGTCTTAATAACAACAAAAAGTGCATTTTTGAAAACATTTGTGTACCATAAAATACGGTTTATGGAAACAAAAGCAACAAAATAAAAGTAACTAGGTAATGTCAGAGCATGAAAGCATCAACTGACAAACTGATAGGTTAGACTTAAAACCTTTTTGTGCTGAAAAAAGGCACACCATGATAAAGACAGTTTAAAATGTGCTAAACGCAGGCAAAAAATAATGCAAAGAAAATTGTAATGATTAACCACGAAATACAAGGTAAAGAGTTAAATCATGAAATTAAGGATAAATGTCTTACTCTTGTGGCCTTTTTGAGTCCATCTCAGAGCTGGAGTAACCCACCACCTGTAATAACAAATAAAAAATTTATGCGTTTCTCTTTTTCACTGTCCTTGTGTCAGAGTCATGAACACTGAATTTTAGTTTTCACTCTGGTATCAGAGCCGGGAAGCCAGGTGTTATGTCAGCCAACTGCTGGCCAACAGGTTCATGAAGGAACCCCTGCCATGTCCTCTCCTGGTGTTTTCCCTCTCTGCTCATGCATCCTCTATGTTGCTATATAGTAGTTTGAAGAGGTCTCTTATCAAACACCTTCCGCCACTGCCTAAGGTAAGCGACAGGTACAAGTCAGAAGGCAAAATATGTCATCAAAATGAACAGTACAAACTACTTTTGTGTATGATCACATGTCAGCACAACATGAAAACATGATCTCACCATGATGTAGCTTGTTGCCTTGTAGCAGCTGAAATTTCAACTTTTCACCACTTCTGATTTCCAACATGGCCGAACGACATCTTATGAACCATTTCCTTTCTAATATAATCCAACTCTAAAACCAGATTATTTCTATTTTTAGGCATGAATCTAAACAGAGGTCATTTTTTGTTATTCAAAATAATATGTGGCTTTGTTTTATGGAGAGAATGGTCCAGTGTCTCCTACTTGACTGAAAACTGTCAGTTTATGTGCACAGGAGGCTTTAAGATTCCCCATCACTACTCTGTAAACTGCATATACAGTAGGTCCACAGTTGTCTTCTGATCTTTAATTTCACAAAATCATCTTAAACACATTTTGAACTGAGACTTAAAAGCACAGACAAACTTTTCAGTGTCATTCTGCACAAAAAAGTCAAAGAGCAAAGTGAACTAACAACAAACAGAATGCCTTTTTGACAGGAAGGGAAAATGAGTGTATATACAATAGAGTACTGCACATTACTACAGTGCATGTGTATGTAAGGATGGATGGTAGAGGCAGTTACCCTGCACTTATTAATGAGAATGAGGTCAAGCTTTCAAAGAAAGCCTTCCAACAAAGGCCCGCTGTGGATAGGGTGTACACATTGCATTATGAAAGGAGAGGAAAAATTCTCCAGATAAAAGAAGAAGAAAATGACATCCCGTGAATGTGATCATTGTTTCCTTTCCTTTGGTGTTTCACATCATAAACCTGAGGAATGCAGCTGCATCAGCGTTTGAGCTTTGGCTAAATCCATTCAGACTCTTTGTTGTGCAGTCATTCAGATCGCACAGACACACACACACACTTACACACCAGCACACCTCAGTTATCTGTCATCTACTATGGTTCTGATAACTGTGATCAACACAACACAGCTACACCTCCTTTCACTGTCTCGCTTTCTCTTTTGCTGCCCTCTACTTTTGTCCCTCATTTCCCACAATGCTCGAAGAAGACTATCAGTTACAATCGATCTGCAGGATATCAGATGCCCTCACAGAAACATTTCACACCCTTGCAGGTAGAGACAGCAGTGACACTGAAAAGCACTGCTCACACAGTCTCCCATATGTACCACTATACTGTCAGGTTTGCCTTTTGTTTCTGGTGTGGGCTTTGGTTCTTCTTACCA